CAGCCACTGCCTGTGTCGGGATGCCACCTGGTGTCGCTTGGCAGAAGAGCCGTCAGGCAGGCACAGCTCCCAGGCTCCCAGCATCTCCAGGGGGAAGGCATCCCAAAACAGCCTGGCTGCTGGGACCCCCACCCCGGGGACAGCCCGGATCCCCACAACCCCAGGGACACGCGCGAGTGGCAGCAAAGGAGGACATGTCCCAAAGGAGGACAACGACACAGCCCAGGTCACACAGGGGCAGTGAAGCTCAAAGCGGGGCCTGGGCTGGCTCAGGGGTCCCCGGGGCAGCCAGGGCCTGAAGGCTCAGCAGCTTCACGGGTGGCCCAAGCCAGTGCCGGGTGTCCTGGTGAAGGAGGAGGACAAGAATCCCCCCCAGCAGTGTGCAGGCTGCCTGCAGTGCCAGTGCAGCCAGCCCCAGGGCTAGGGACACCTGGCACTGTTGCGGGCCAGCCCATAGGGACAAGCCCCTGGCACAACAGCCACTGGGCACCAGGGGCTGGGGGGAGGCCAGACAGGGGCTAGTGTGGTCTGGCAGTGTGGGTACAGGATGTGCTGGGAGCAGGACAGTGCCTGCAAGGGAAGGAGGGTATTGGGGGACAGTGAAGGTGTGCTGGGTGCCAGCTGTGGACAAGTCCCATGTGGTGTCATGGTCCTGCTTCCTGCCTGGCACAGGAGCATGGTGGGATGGGGAGTGTGAAGCCGGTGGGACTGTGCCCAGCACAGCAGCCCTTGGGGGTGGCCAGAGTGTCATAGTGGGGGCTGAGACAAGGGAGATTCTGGATGTCCCCCATGGGATGGTGGCTGGCCTCTCTGTGGGCACCAGAAGAACACTAGACACTGGTCTGGTGGTGGCTTCCAGCTGACTGATTGGCACTGGTGTTGTGGCAGAAGCTACAAAGGACGGTGTGTGAGTGGCCCCAGGAGACTGTAGGCTTACGTTGGCTGAAGTTGGCACAGCTGGCAATGGGGTGCTGATGGAAGCCTTGGATAGCATGGTTGATGATGATGGTATGGCATTGGAGGCTTTTGGCAGTACAGTTGGTGATGGTGTGTTAGTGGAAGTCCCTGGCAGCACAGTTGGGGGTGGGGTGTTGGTGGAAATCCCTGGCAGCACAGCTGGTGATGGGGTGGTGATGGAGGCCTTAAGCAGCACAGTTGGTGATGGTGTGTTGGTGGAAATCCCTGGCAGCACAGCTGGTGATGGGGTGGTGATGGAGGCCTTTGGCAGCACAGTTGTTGATAGGCTGGTGATGAAGGTCTTGGGCACGCTGGTTGATGATGGGGTGCTGGTGGAAGTCTTGGGCATGTTGGTTGATGATGATGTAGTGATAGAGGCCTTTGGCAGCATGATTGATGATGGTGTGATGATAGAAGTCTTGGGCACACTCGTGGATGATGATGTGGTGATGGAGGTCTTGGACACATTGGTTGTTGATGGGCTGTTGATGAAGGCCTTCTGCAGCACAGCTGATGGTGGGGTGGTGACAAAGGCCTTAGATGCCATGGTAGGTGATGTAGTGGTAAAGGTGGCTGCTGTTGGCATGGCTGGCAACACAGCACAGGTGACCACAGGTGACAGAATGGTTGGTGGTGTCCTGATGGGAAAGGCTGTCAATGACAGCATGGTTGGCACTGCTGTGGACAAGGCTCCAAGTGACAGCAAAGTTGACGTCCCTTGTGATGATGGCAGAGGTGGGGTAAAAGAATCTGAAAGAGGAAGAGTAGCTGGGCAAATTAAGTGGTCATCTCTCAGCAATGTTACTGCTTGCCCTGCCAGGCTGGGGGGACTCTTGCATGAGACTTGGGCGGACAATTTGACCTTCTCACTGTTGCCTAGGATCCAGTTATGCAGGTAGCAGAGGTTGCAGTCACATCTCCATGGGTTACCACTCAGATACACTGAGCTGAGCTTCTTCAGGGGCTCCAGAAGCCCCTGGGGAACACTCTCCAGCTGGTTCTTTCGAAGGTTGAGGGTTTTCAGATTTGGGAGAGAAGCAAAGACCTCTTCATCCAGAGCAGAGAGCTGATTTGTGTCCAGCTGGAGGTCCAAGAGCTTGCCGAGTCCAGTGAAGGCTCCTCTTGGCAGGGCTGATATCTGGTTGTGGGACAAGATGAGTTTTCCAAGGGATGTGATGTTGACAA